ATAATGCAATTTTCATATAGTTACAATTTGCATTATCGATGCCATCCTAATCTGAACCTATAACCTGTTATCTTGTGAATTAATTTCAAAATTAATATAAAATAAAAATAAAATGCATAATTCATATAGATAATAATATTAATAATTAAAAAGTCCAACTTCGAACAATACATACAATAACAATGTTCAAGTTAATAATAATAGTAATTAGTTAGTAATAGTTTTATAAGCTTAACTTTAAAACTAAGTTAGGTCTATATGAATAAGTAATGGCCTATGTTCCTTCAAAAAATAGATAAGGCCAACATGTGACAATGTAATACCAATTTCAGGCCTATATTCTCCAAATAAATAACGAAATGGCCTATATCCCCCCCAAAAAAACCTAAGGCCTATATTCCCAAAAAAAAAACCTAAGGCCTATATTCCCCCAAAAAAATACTAAGGCCTATATCAACAATACTAATGTAAGAGCTTTATGAACAAAAACTACGACACCGGAGTCTGGTGACCAAGCCCACCACCATTCATGTCCGGGTCATCTTCCCTACGAAACTCAAATGTAGGACCACTTGAACAGTTAGAGAACAAGTTCTGCAACATTGTCTCCATCATTCGCTTACTCTCAATTGCTGCCTCCTCCCGCTCCTTCTTCAATGCCTCCTGCAATTGCGTAGCAAACTATGCCTCCATATGTGCCCACATTTGCACTTTTTCCTCCTCTATTTGTTCGGCAACCTCGTCTTGCACACGTTCCTCCAACTGTGAAGCTATAGAAGGATTATATGATTGCGAGCCTTTCTCGGAAGAGGGGCTGTAAAACAAACTAGCACTTGCACCTAGGCCCTTCACTACACCCTTTTTCCTACCACCAACGACCTCCAAGTATAGCTGGTTAGGGTCAGGTTGTGACCCTTCTTGAGTGCAAGACTCGTCAAGATCCTTTTGGTTGGCTTCTTGAAATCAAACAAAACAAATTTTGCATATTAAACATGTTTATAGGTTCAAATTGCGAAAACATACACATTTTCAAGTATTTACAAGGCTATAGGTTTACAGCTTGGCTAAAATGGCTTAAATGGCCTTCTAACTTACCCATTTTCTTTGTTTTTGATATATTCTATGACTTTGTCATTCAAACAACTCATATTTAGCATACAAAACATGTTTATAGGTTCAAATTGGTTAATCATAGAGATTTTCATGCATATTGAAGGCTATAGGTTCATGACTAGGATAAAATGGCTTAAATGACCTTCTAATTTACCCATTTTCTTAGTTTATGCTATATTCTAAGATTTTATCAATCAAAAAACTCATATTTAGCATATTAAACATGTTTATAGGTTCAAATTGCAAAAACATCCACATTTTCATGCATATTCATGGCTATAGGTTCATGACTAGGCTAAAATGGCATTCTAACTTAGCCATATTCTTTGTTTTTGCTATATTTTTAGATTTTATCAATCAAACAACTCAAATTTAGCATAAAAAACATGTTTATAGGTTCAAATTAGTTAATCATAGACATTTTCAAGCATTTACAAGGCTATAGGTTCACAACTTGGCTAACATGGCTTAAATGGCCTTCTAACTTACCCATGTTCTTTGTTTTTGATATATTCTAAGACTTTGTCATTCAAAAAACTCATATTTAGCATACCAAACATTTTTATAGGTTCAAATTGGTTAATCATAGACATTTTCAAGCATTTACAAGGCTATAGGTTCACAACTTGGCTAAAATGGCTTAAATGGCCTTCTAATTTACCCATTTTCTTTGTTTTTGATATATTATAAGACTTTGTCATTAAAACACTCATATTTAGCATACAAAACATGTTTATAGGTTCAAATTGGTTAATTATAGACATTTTCAAGCATTTACAAGGCTATAGGTTCACAACTTGGCTAAAATGGCTTAAATGACCTTCTAACTTACCCATTTTCTTTGTTTTTGATATATTCTAAGACTTTGTAATTCAAACAACTCATATTTAGCATACAAAACATGTTTATGGGTTCAAATTGGTTAATCATAGACATTTTCAAGCATTTACAAGGCTATAAGTTCACAACTTGGCTAAAATGGCTTAAATGGCCTTCTAACTTACCCATTTTCTTTGTTTTCGATATATTCTAAGACTTTGTCATTCAAACAACTCATATTTAGCATACAAAACATGTTTATAGGTTCAAATTGGTTAATCATAGACATTTTCAGGCATTTACAAGGCTATAGGTTCACAACTTGGCTAAAATGGCTTAAATGACCTTCTAACTTACCTATTTTCTTTGTTTTTGATATATTCTAAGACTTTGTCATTCAAACAACTCATATTTAGAATAAAAACATGTTTATAGGTTCAAATTGGTTAATCTTATACATTTTCAAGCATTTACAAGGCTATAGGTTCACAACTTGGCTAAAATAGCTTAAATGGCCTTCTAACTTACCCATTTTCTTTATTTTTGATATAATCTAAGAATTTTTCATTCAAAAAACACATTAGTTTCCAAAGTTAGGTGCCTCAAATTTCAAATCACAAGTATAAGTGCCTATGTTTTGCTTGCTTCCTTAAAAAATAATTTCATTAGTTTCCAAAGTTAGATGTGTTACCGAGATTTGTTGTGCCCTCTTGTTAGCCGCAACTTTTCCTTTTCCAGGAACTTCCTTGAAATGTGTCTTTAGGAACACTTCAGGAGCAGTTGGAAGCACTCCACCGGCTTTCTAAGCCTGCACAAATCAAATAACTCCATAAATGCTTAGTGTATATAACTACTAAAATTTATCAGTATCATTATATACCATTAAGTATTACCATTTTCTTTGCATGCTTTGATGCAGAGATAGAACCTTGGAAGTGTAACGGCTGAATTGGATTGGACAGGGAGCCACCCCTCCTGTTCTTCTTTGCTTTTTCTTACCTCTCTAGAAAAACCGGATCCTTTCTTTTCTCCATAATTCGCTCAAACATACACTCTCCCATCCATCTGGGAACTGACTTGTTTCTGACCGAAACATTGTATGTAATCTCTTTTAGCCTCTTATGTGCCTTCTTTTCATACTCCTTCTTCACGAGGGCATCAAGATCAGCATTCCAAAGGTATTGTTTCTGCAAACAAGAAAAATAAAATGTATAATAATTTATTGTAATAAGTAACCAAAAAAAAACAAAGTTAGATGAGTAAACTAAACTTGGGGGTTTTATAATACCGTAAACGAGTTCCACCAGTGGGTCTTAGTAACCTTGTCAACCATTTCATAGTTAAGCCATGGTTTGAGCCAATGTGCTTGAAAAATATTTGTAATGGAGGTGCTCACGGTGTTATCATCGAACCTTTGTACCAATAAGAAAACAAATGAAGTCATTACATACAAATCTAACCAAGATTGTTCAAGTTGGAATGCAAATTAAGATAATCATGAGTAACTGACCATAACCCCGTCGGGTGCAAAGTCCTTCTCGCAACGGGGGTAGGAACCTCACCCATGAGAGAGTTACCATCTTGCGTCTCAGGAACCTGAGTAGATGTCCCAGAACCACCTACACATGGCTTAGGGGATGGGGTAACTTCCGGAGAAGTTTTCATATTTTCATGGCTTGTCGACGGAAACAATTCTCTCGGGGTGGAATGTCCTAGCTTCCGACGACCACCACCGGCCATGACAACCTACAATAAGAAAAACATTATGAACATCGGTAAAAATCATATAGCCATGTTATATCACGATCTATAAGCTACTGTCACACATAACCTTGGCTTTGCAAATTATAAATAATAACATATTTACACAAGTATATCACATTGAAACTCGGATGGTCTTTTAAAATAAATTGAAATACATTAAGTTTACATAATTAAAAAGTCAAAACAAGGTTACAATCAATCTCCTAAATCTCAGTTGAAGCGTCCTCCCCATCAGCACTAAGATCATCACAGTATCGTCATCCCAAAATCTTTCACCCTCATCCTCGTCCTCACTATCAGTAGATTTGAAACTGGACTCGTCTGGAGGGGCATCGGGCAACACTTCATTTTCAATATCCGAATCTCCTAATCCATCTTCATCACCTTCATAGTCCGGAATGTCATCCGGAGCACAAAGAGTTGGAATATCAGCACTGGTTTCTTGTAGAAAGTCTTCGTCAACTGGTGCATCAACAACAGACCTCGCCTTTGTCTTGAACACTGCCCACCATTGAGCCTTTTCTCTTTTCAGACTTGGGTAAGGTACATAGTAGACTTGGTTTTCTTGGTAAGAAAGCACAAATGGATCGTACTTGGTTTATTTTTTGGTGTGATTGACTTCTACAAGCCTGTATTGATCAATGTTCATACCCCTAATGGAATCCATCCAACTGCACTTGAAAAGAATAGTCTTATAAGTCCGTAGGGCACTAGTGAACTTCAACTCGATGATATCCTCTACAAAACCAAAATAATCACCACCATCTTCATTGGATACGCATACTCCATAATTCATTGTTGACTTATGTTTTCCATGGCCATAAGTTTGGAATTTGTATCCATTCACATAGAATTGGCTCCAAGTACGCACTCGCTTAGATGGGCCCATAGCCAAAGCAAACAATATTTCATCATTTGGCTTTTCTTGAATCACCTGCTCATATGGCATAATTATATAAATAAATTGATATTAGTCGTGAAGTTATAGAAACAAAGTTAGAAAACGTGTTGATGTCAAATGCGTATCATACTCACTTTCAACCTAAACCACTCTAGGAATTCAGCTTCATGTTTAATCCACGCATCTTCTTTGCGAATAGTGGGTTGTATTTGAACAATGTGGTCCTCAAACCCCCTTCCATATAACCAGAGAAAGAGTATTAATGAAGGTGGTCAACATTGGATACGATGTAAAATTCAATGAAATCTTAGTGAGTGTGATAATTTACAAATTTAATACCTCTCATATGGTTCCAGAATACCGCTATTTCCCAAAACATATAAATGAGCACGTTGTAGTTCTTTTTCATCCAAATAGCGACGAACTCCACCAGTAGAAGCATGTCCATGATCAACCCTAAACAGTTCTGGAACACTATCATCCAAAGTGCTTTCAACATCATCATGAACATTACGACCTAAGTCCCGTGTTTTGGTATCCACTCCTTGTTTGAAGTAGTTAGAGCAAAAGTACCCTATCTCTTCCGTTAGATAAGCATTGCATATTGAACCTTCCACACGAGCCTTATTGCCAATTTTACGTTTCAAATGATTAAGGAACCTATAATAAAAAATATTGAATAAGTTATATGTTATGCAAACAACTATAGGTGTATAAACGAAAATGGCAGCTATGAGTTTGTAGGAGCTTAAACCTTTCAAACGGATACATCCAACGATATTGGACAGGACCACATAACCTAGCTTCATAAGGCAAGTGAACTGGTAAGTGTTCCATAGAGTTGAAGAATGCTGGTGGAAATATCTTCTCGAGCTTACAAAGAATTTCTGCAATGTTTTGTTCCAATCTTTCCATATCACTCAATTTAATGGTGGAATAACAAAGATCACGGAAGAAAAGACTAATCTCAGTAATAGCTTTCCAAACATGGACCGGGAGCAATTCCTTCAAAGCAACTGGCAACAATCTCTCCATGAAGACATGACAGTCGTGGCTCTTTAAACCATGAAGCTTACATGATTGTAAATCTACACATCTACTCAAATTAGAAGCATAACCATCGGGAAATTTCAAGTTCCTTACCCACTCGCATAACACTTTCTTTTGAGCCTTGTCGAGTGAGAATGGGGCTTTCGGCAAAGTGTCTTTGTCTCTCGCATCCTCCATCACATGTAGTTATGGTCGTTTGCAATATTTGGCAATGTCATTTCTAGATGCAACTGTGTCTGAAGTATGTTTTTTCACATCCATCACTGTGTGAATTAGTTGGCCAACGAAATTCTTTTCAATATGCATCACATCGAGGTTGTGGCGGAGGAGAAGAGTCTTCCAATACGGTAGCTCCCAAAGAACGCTTTGTTTAAACCAACCTAGTTTCTTCTTTTTCAAGCTTGCAAGTGCTTCTGGTCCATCTGTTGCCTTAGCAAAGTGTTGAACTTGTTGCCATAGCTCATCGCCGGACATTATGTGAGGTGGTGTCCCCTTTTCAACCTTGTTCTTACAAAAAGCAATTTTGTTGTTTCAAAAAGGATGTTCGGGAGGAAGAAATTGTCGGTGACAATCAAACCAAGACATTTTACCACCATGTTCAAGCCAAAAAGCTTTTGATTTTTCCAAGCAATATGGACATGCTTTTTTACTAGCTGTTGCCCATCCAGAAAGCATACCATAGGCTGGGAAATCACTTATAGTCCACTAGATTGCTGCACGCAAATTGAAGTTTTTTCTTTGCGAGATGTCGTAAGTTGTTGCACCAACATCCCACAGTTCTTTCAGTTCTGCAATTAACGGTTGCATATACACATCCAAGTTCCCCTTCGGATTTTTAGGACCAGGAACGAGCAAAGAATGGAACATAAATGGTTTTTTCATGCACATCGATGGAGGCAAGTTATAAGGGGTCAGAATGACTGGCCAACATGAATACTGACCCCCAAACTTGCCATTAGGAGCAAACCCATCGGTACACATACCAAGTCTCACATTTCTAGGTTCAGACGCGAAATCGGGGAAGGATCTATCCAAGTGCTTCTAAGCTTCACTATCACTAGGATGCGCCATTGTGCCTTGGACTCTTGGATTTTTTGAATGCGAAGTCATTTCCTCCGCAACATTTTTTGTTGCAAACAACCGTTGTAGCCTTGGAGTGATTGGAAAATAGATGAGTTATTTTATTGGAACCAATGACCCCTTTGAAGTCCTCTTGTATCTATCCCTTTTGCACACTCTACACTTATCCAACTCAGCATCAGCTTTCCAAAATAACATACAACCCTTTGGGCATGCATGGATCTTCTTGTGTGGAAGCTCAAGTCCGTTAAGAATCTTCTTTGTATCATAGAATATTTTCCCCATCTTATTGTTGTCGGGAATCGCTTCGTTCAGTAATGAAGCAAACCCATCAACGCACTTATGGGGCAAATTGTATTCCGACTTCAAAGATACAATTCGAGATGCCATTTCTAGCACAGACATGGAGCTACCTTCGTATAGTAGTCGCTCGGTAGCCTTTAAAAGCTCTTAAAATGCTTTTGCTTGAGCATTTGGCTCTTCGTCTGAACCACTAGTACTATCGTCACCTGGTGGTTCTTGATTACTCTCAAGAGCATCGAGAACCGTTTCACGGTAAGTATTTGGTTTCTCTACACTTTATGTAGGGAACCCTTCACCATGAGAAACCCAGTCATAGTAATCAGGTATAAACCCCTTTTTTTACAAATGGAGTTTTACTGTGTTGGCATCATGAAGACGTCTATTCTTACATAACAGACAAGGGCATCTTACTTCATCTATGCCCGGGCTCTCAGGATGAGCTTCACAAAACCGTATGAATTGTTTAACACCATCCACAAACTCTGGCCTAAGTCTACGAGCATTACCGCCATCGTATCTATCGTACATCCACCAACGCTCTTTCCTTTTCATGGTGACAAATTCTACAACACTATGAAAAACAAATCACATTAATCATTCACACTGAACTTGTATTCATTACAATGATGGCATACGATACAATTAGAATCGAAATGATATCCAAAGGTCCTTATCATGACTTGAACAGGAAAGTTGATTTCACATCCTTTATTAAGAGATTTAAACATATGTTATGTCACATGCTTCTAACTTGATAAACAATTATTACAACATTTTTTCTAAGATACTTTTTATTTATAATTTACAATATTGATTAAATTATTTATAACTTACACTAAAAAATTATATTTATACCATTTCAAAGTAAATTGATGTAACATTAATAAAATAATAGAAGCAATATGATTTGTATACTTAACAAAGATGGGAGTTTGATAACAAAAATCAAAATATAAAAATATTAAAAAAAAACCAACCACATGTAACCCTTCATGAAAAAACAAAATAATTTACAAAATACTTTATAGAACCATAATACAAATTATTGTTCAAAAGATTATCATAACCCCTTAAATATATATATTTCTAATAAAGCCATTGTAATTCAATAAGAATCATTTTTTTTAAAACGAAAACTAAAATTATCCAACACATGAGTTCACACCATCCAATAGTCCTACATTGGACATAAAGAAAAATAAATTTCTATTCCAATCAAAACATATCCAAGTTCTAGCCTACGCACAATAAAGCGTAAAAAATCCAACAATGAACCAAGCTATCAATAGCAAACTAAAATTATCCAACACATGAGATCACAACTCCATAAACAACTAACATAAATATGAATCATATTGCACAAGTAAAAGAAGTAGATAAATAAGAAGGGAAGAAAAACACACAGCGGAGGAGTTGACCGGAAAAGCAGAGGCGGCGACGAAGGTGGTCCTGGTATATGGTGGTGTTACACTTTTAGGCAGTGTATTTATAAAAAAATTTAAAATGAAAAAAATAAATAATAACAGCCGACTTACCTAGTAGGGGCGATGGAAAAACACAGAAAAAGGAGGAGGGAAGGGCAGAAGAGGAATCCGGCGACGATGGAGCTGCAAAGGGGGTTAATTTGCGACTCACAATAAGCTATTTCAGATTAAATAACGAAATTAAAACAAAAAAAAAATCAACCAAAAGGTCAAGACTGAGAACATAGCTTTAATCAAAAGTTCAAGAGGTAAATTTCACCATTTTTAACCAAAAATTAGCTGAAAAGGCTATTTATACTATTTAAAGAAAATATTCAACTATGTAGCCTGATATTAAAGTAATTACAATGAGATAAACCCATGTATTAATACACATTTACGATAAGGTAGCTTATTTGGAATGCACATTTACCATGTGTAATTCTTAACTAGTCATTATGAATCTTGCATATTTGATAAAATCATGTACAAATTCAACAGTAAATCTCAAAGCAAACAAAGTTACATGGCTTATTTAATCGATTCAAGACAAAAATTTCATTACATCCAAACAATTCAATGTGATAGTGGCTCCCTTTCTAATCAAATTGCCACCCCAAACAATATAATTAAAACCAAACTTGAAATCCACTTCGACATTAGTTCCTTTCTACTCAAATTACACCAAATCAAATCAATTCAATTTTAACACAATCACATTAATCATCAGACTACACCACAATCTATCAACAACAACATCAATGGACTTCAGTATTTCATCATTAAAATATAAACAATTATAAATGAAAGAAAAATTTAAATTGGTTACCATTTAACTCAAATTAAACCAATAAGACTTCAGAATAACCATATTAACCCTAATTCAATCAAAAAATGAATCAAACCCAATTCCATAAATAAACTGCTTCATTATTCAATCCACAATAAGGTAATTAGTTCATATAGGAAAAGAAAGAAAGAGAGAGAGAGAAGGCCATAAACAGAAAATAAATTTTAAAAAAATAAAATAAAAAAAAAAACCAAAATTGCATGACTTACCTGATTACAGTCGACGGAAGACGGAGGAGGCTAAGATAGAAGGAGGAAACCGGTGACGTACGCCCTGCAAACGTTGATTTGTGACCCAATTTTAGGGTTTTCGCCCAAATTAACAAAAATTCAAAAAAAAAATAATAATACCATCGACTTACCTTGATACAATCGTCGGAAAGCAAAGGGGAGACGGCCTGGAGGGGAATCCGGCGACGGTGGTCTGCGTGGGGGTTGAATTGAGACCCAAAGTTAGGGTTTTCAAACAAATTAACTAAACTAATAAAAAAAAAAAAAAATAGAACGGCATACCTGTGTGTAGCGTCGCTGGCCGGAGACAGGTCGTCGGTGGGAACAACGGCGAAGCAGCGACCGTCGTAGCTGTTCTCCCTCTTCCCCCTTCTTCTCTGCTTCAACCTTTCTTTTCCCCTACTCAAAATAATGAAACCCGGTTTTGTTTTAATTTCTGATTTAAACTCTTACGACCGGCTCTACGACCGGTTAGACCGGTCGTAACTTTTTTTTTTTAAAAAAAATTAATTCTAATCACGGCCACAATTTATTAAAAAACGTTCGCAATTAATTAAAATTACGACAGGCTATGAAACGGTCGTAAATAATACTAATTGCGACCGTTTTTTAGCCCGTCGCAAGAAAACAGTCGTAATATGACCGAATTTTAGTAGTGTTTACTCTAAGGGATTGACGACAAAGTTAATTGATATAGAGAAGTTATTAATGATGGAATAATCAATGATTTCATGGAGTTATTAAAGAATCGCTTTAACAATGAGTTATGAATTATAACAACCAGATTGAGGAATTTGAAGTTATGAGAAAAGATGATCGAGTTTTTAAATGTTTAAAACATTATGAAGTGACCAAGAGTTAATGATTACGATTTAAGGATGTATTACCAGGATTTATGAATGTGTTGGGGAAATTATTAATACTTTTGAAGGATACCTTAAGACAAGTTACTAATCTATGAGCGATAAGAAGGTCAAGATAAGATGTGTTCCTTTTATGCTTGGTGCCTATGACGGTGTTTGCTATATGAAATGAAGTTGAATATGTGATTATTGAGTTCTTTATGAACAAGTAAGACTTTTATTCAAACAAGTATTTTATTACAAGTATGCAAAATGAATTTTCAAATACACAGTTTTCAAAATAAAGTTTTGTATTCTTTGTTTTTAAATAGTTGTTTAGATTGAAAACTTTCATAAATCTTTTAAAATCTTTTATTAAGTATTTTTATTTCAATTCATACTTTGTAATTGTATATATACGAGACTTTTACAACAATTTCTCATAATGTAAGTATTTCAAATTATTTTTTGAATGACTTATAAAAATATTTTTCGAGTTTACTCACTACTTTTATTCGTATTCAAATCATTTTAAAACCTATGCTCTTTGGATGCTTGAAACTTTATGATTTTCCTTACTTTGATTGATGATTGTTGATAAATTGTAAATATAGTTGATGTATTTAGTGAGTTAATGTGTTGGTCGAGTTATGGGGGCGTAACTCCTTTTAAGAGGGGTAGAGGGCGATGGAGTTTCGCACGTCTACTTTCGAGTCATTTTTGAGTGATTTCGAGTCTTACTTGAGTTTGGTTGGAGTCTTGAGTCGGGTTAGGATGTGTATGCACCAATAATTTCAAAATGATTTTCGTTTATTTGGCTAAGTTTTGGGTCGAAACTTATTTTAAGGGGGATAGACTGTAATACCCCGTATTTTCATACGTATTTTCTAATTAATTAATTATGAATTATTTTATAAAAAGGGTATTTTAGTAAATTTATTATTTGGAGCCAAAATAATATTTAAATTTTTGCGCCAAAGTAATTTGAAAACTAATCATTATTTTTGATAAGATTTATTATCCATTTATCTTATTTTAAAAATCGGATTATTTACATATTTCGAATATTTTAATTAAAGAAAAATATTATTTTATTAATTATTTAAGATGGCCGAAAATTCCCAATAATTATCTAGGGATTTTGGAATTTCCATGTATGGAAAATTTTCTTGGTTATTTATTGGTGAATAATTGGTATTTAATTAATTAATTATTTATTCTATATTATTTACACAATTATTTTTATTCCTTAAACCGAGCAAAAATCTTCCTCAATACTATTAAGAGCGAAAATCTAAGCTATGGAAAGCTCAAGATTTTTGACCCTCTTGTATTATTTTGGGGAAAATTATTTTGATAAATTGTATTTTTAATTATCTCCCAAAATCTCTTATTTTCCTTAATTCTATTTCTCTATCTTTTAAATATTTGATCATCATATTTTCTTGCCTTTTATTCTTCTTAATTATTCCCCAAGTAATTCCAACTTCCATATTATTTTTCATGACAAACATACCTTCTATATTTAATTACACACAATCACCTTAATATCAAAAGCTTCCTTAATTCTTTTATTCTCCAAGTAATTCCATAAACCCTACTTACCATAATTCTTCCTACATTCTCCTACCATAATTCTCTCATTCATGAGCCTATAAATACCCCTTCATACCTCTCATATTCTTCACAACAAAAACCCAATTCTCTTCTTCTTCTTTTCCCTAAACCTTTTCATACTTTTCTTCTCCTCTTTTCATACAAATATTACCCCATTTATCTTTGAAGCTAGTTTTTGGGCACTTATGATCAGTTTTAGGGTATTGACATCTCACAGAAGATTGTTCCTCTTAAAAATCCTTGAGGTTAGGCTTAATAATCACCCAATTCAGAGTTATATCGAAGGAATTATAGCCTCTGCAAGTTCTGCCTATTCTTTCCAACGCAAATCCAATTCTTTTCTTTTCCTTGGTTTCCTATCTTTCCTTATTCTCTTCTCTTATTCAATTATTATTATTATTATTATTATTATTATTATTATTATTATTATTATTATTATTATTATTATTATTATTATTATTATTATTATTATTATTATTATTATTATTATTATTATTATTATTATTATTATTATTATGGGGGATTTATAAATAATTATTATGAATAGTTTGAATTATATAAAATCAGATTTTTAATGATGTTTATGAGAAATTAATTTAAAAGGTTCATGTACATATAGTTGGGGGTTTTTAATTATTTGTTAACCTTATATTGATTAAGGTTATATTTATTTGTAGGGTGTGTTCGAGCAAGGTTCTTGAGGTTCTTTTTGTGTGGTTTTTCTAGCAAGGATCAAGGTACGTTTAGGTGGCTAGATACCTTTGAAAGTGATTAGTTTGAATAACATGTTTTACATGATTTGATTGGTGATTGAATTAAATTGATTTGAATTATGACTTTGAAATAAATTATGTTTGAAGGTATTTATTTTAATAAAAGTATTTTGAATGATTGATTTTTAAATTATGTTTTGAATGGTTTGGATTACTTATAGTTCTTAAATAAAGGAATTTATTTTAAAAGGTTTGTTGAATTAAATAAAGGTCTTTCAAGGAAGAGTTGTTGATTTTGAAAAGTATTAATATGAGATTTTCCTCTCAAGTATTTATTTAGAAGGTTTGATTTTTAAAGCATGTGGAATTAATTAAAAGGATTTTGAATTATATTGGAACTATTGGATATTAAAAGGATCTATTGAACCATTGAATTATTATTATTAATGCTTTATGAGCATGTTGGTAATCCCACTATGCGGATTTGGTTTATTGATAAGGCCTTGAACTTTGTATGACCTGGTCATTCCTCAAGAATAGCCTTGTAATATAAGGAGACTAGCATGGGGGGTGTGCACACTTGGGTGAGGAATTGGATTAAAAGGAATTGGTTTTATTAACTATTATTTTGAATATGAATCATTGGAATCGGTTTTTTAATAATGAGTTTTGAATTTATTGGAATTGGTTTTAAAAGCATCTCTACAAATAAATTGAATTAACACTATCTTGCACTTATCATACTTAGCATAATTTTCTAATCCGTATTTCTTATTTGTTTTAGTTCGCCCTGTTTACCGTAATGGTAAGCAATGTTGACTATTTTCAGGTGGAGTAATTAATGAGCATATGGGAGTCCCGATATTTGCTTCACCTAGTTTAGGAATGTTGGTCTTGTCCTTATTTTTTTTAGCACTCATAACAATGTTACTATTTTTATAAGTATTAATAAAAGAAAGTTGAGTTTGCGGTGTAAGTTTTGTCGTTGAGTTAAGTATTTTAAGTAGCCTTGCGTAATCACGCGACGGTAATACGCCCAAGTCTATCTCTACGGTATAATTATACGTATTATACTAGTATATTTGTAGAGGGATATTTGGGGGTGTTAAGTGGCTGCTGCCACAACCAACAAGCACAGCTTGCCAGCCCGAGCAGCAACAGCAGCATGGCGCGGCAGCAACGCTGGCCATGTGGGATGTTGTGCATAGGCTCAGGCGGCGTGTGGTTGAGCCTTGTGGTGTGCGTTGCTTGGTGCGGCTTGGGTGTGTGTGTGGGTGTGCTACGAGCTTGTGGCACAATGCGTGCAGCAGCAAGATTGCGTGGCCTTCGTGGCATGTGTCACAAGCACGTCCCTTAGGGAGTCTACGCGTATGCGGCATTCTAGGTTGTGGGTGTGATGCTTGGCATGATTCACGGCTGTGCGCATAAACCCTCACTTAGGACTTGTGCCTCGTTTTAAGGCTATGTTAATTTTTACTGTTTTAATTATTTTAATTAATTATTATGGTTTTAATTAATTTTAATTAAGTTTTGAGGCTAGGCCTTGGTTTTGAGCGGCAATGACAAAATTTTTGGTTTACCAACTAAATTAATTGGATTAATTAAGAAGGATATGGAATTTAGTGGGAGCTTCAATATTAATTGCGCTAAATTACATTATCGATTAAAACAACTTTGACTAGTTTTAATTAGGCATGTTAAATGGATTAACGACCTAAATTAGTTAGTAGTTTACGCGTGTTTTATGCATTGTTACTTGTTTATCGTTGTAAAATGCTTGGACCATTTCACAAATAGTGAATGGATGAATAGAATGTATATTCTCTCACAGGGTTTATAAAATGGCAACTAGTGGGGCCCGATTAGGATAGAAAATACGGACTGTGATCCGTGATGTATATTTGTAAATCTAAATACGGTCTGCGAACCGTTGAGTATTTTTGTACCTTAATATTTAGATTAGTCCTAATCGTAGATACTAGTATTTTTATAACTATGGTCATGTCTTGAATACGAAGTTTTTTGGAAGACGAAGCTATGAAGTTGCAAAAGCCGTCCTTTAAAGACTCAAGGGGTCATGCTAGTTGCCAAATGCATCTTTATTTATGTTTTCGATATATATATTTATGATTATATATATGTGTGATTTATATGTTAGATGCATGTTTAGGATTTCAAATGTTGGGATGATTAATTAAGTTCACTTAAATCAACCAACATAGAAACCCTAGGTCCCTAAAATATTGAGTAAAACT